ACGAGGGTTTCTTTTAACCATGACTTTGATATTTCAAACTTAACTCCAAGCTGCACTAATCAATATTTTCATATTAACAATAAGTGACTATGTGTAATGTGAAAATAGATGGCTCTGCGGAGAATTATCCTCCAACCCAGCAGTTCCCCTCAGCTCTAAAAAACCTTTTTGTTGTTTTGGTTTTATGGCCCCCAACTTTACTGTTTTAACGTTCAGCTTTACCGTTTGAAGCAACAACTGGCAGTTGTTTTCAACGTGTGATAACACCAAAGTGCTACCCACCCAGCACCAAATGGCAGAAAGACAAATGTAGAGACTAGCTTGTGAACACAGTGGAACATTTAGAACCTAAAGAGTTGGATATTTCCCCTAGGGTGCTGGTGAAGAGCAAAAGGGAGAGTCAATATTGGACTTACATTTGTCAGTTGGAAACACAACTCCAGATGAATTCTGATGCTCCTGGATGTGTAAATAGGAAAATGTTTGCAACGTTCACCAAAACAATTTCTAAGGTGATAAAATGTTACTTGCTTGTTGCGCCGCCTCCAAGTGGCCAAAATGTCTGTGTATGCAGGTTTAAGCAACTGCTTTTTCTTTTAAGCATGACCATGAGCATTCCCTAATCTTAACCTTAAGTGATTATTGTGCCTGTCATATGAAAAATGCTTGTTACGCTCTTTTGTGTTCTCAAAGCCACTGCAAGGTCTCAAGTGTAGTTGACGTTCAGAGAAGGAAATGACAAAAACGTCTTTTGTTTGTTCACTTTGGAGAACATGTGATTTGTCTGTTCCATTTCTTTTTTTTACAAAACCATGCATGTGCAGCCTGTATGGATGATGTGGATATCATTAGAGGTTTCATCTTGACGCTCTACTCAGGGATTTTTTGTTGTATAAACATCTTATTAGAGTCAAAAATGACATCTCATCTTTCTCCTTCTTCTCCTCCCCATCTGCTACTTTTCCCCACAAAGATGTTGCCCTCAGCTTAAAACTCCTCCCCTCCTTCCTCCCTCTCTGTCCCATGTCATCTTTCCTACTGTATCTCCATCCCTGCTCTATCTTTCTATCTCCTCCCTCCTTAAAAGACAACATCTTCATGTCTCCACCCTCTTCTGTCTCCCTGCATCTGCTGCACTTTGAAGAGAAGACATGGCTGAAGGGTTAAATTTTGAGCTCCCATCATCCTCCTCTCTGTTTCTCAACTCCCTGCTTTCCAAAGGTACAGCATCTGCTGTGCATGTTAGACCACTGCAATGGGGAGTTTCTGCTCCATCTCACTCCCCCACCTCCTCCTCTTCCCCCAGTACTCTTCTCAATTCCCTCCAAAGTTGAGGTCGGCCTTTAAGTGTTCTATCATTGCAGAGAAGAGTCTCACTTTGTAACTCTCTCCTCTTTACTGTGGTTGAAGCTCCATCTGGAGGAAAGACTTGCTGATCTCTCCATTTGCTCCCAGCCCCCCATTCTCTCTTGCCTCGCCTTCTCGAGACTGCAAAATGGTTGGCCCTCTAAAAGAAAAACTTCCTGGCCTGTATACGTCTCTACTCTCGCTATTCTAAAATCCATCTCTCTTTCACTTCACTTCGGCTGTGAAGTGTTGTATTAGGGCAGAACGGAGTCGTTCTATCTCTCTCACCGCCCTTATTTCTTTTTCTCCATCTCTCCTTCCTTCCATCTGTACCACTCTCTTCTCTTTTCACTCACAAGTACCAAGTCTGTTGTGTGATGTTGGCCCACTGAAAACAGACTATACAAAGTCGGAACTCCCATTTTGGTTTGTCTGGCTTTAAGTTTTCTTTGACATTATTTGACTTTTGCTCTCATTTGGAGTAATTTTTTCATCATGTCAAATAAAAACATGTCTTGCAATCAAAGCCTAGCAATGTTCTTGTCTTTATACTTAAACTGGCTGCTGTGCATGCTCCTTTTCAATCTTGACAATGTTTTGAACCACGGGTTTGAGCCCACACAGTCAAAAGTAATCATTAGAACCAAAGCACCATATTTATAATGTCAGTCCTTATTTACAGTGTCATTTTTTCCCACCACTAGCCTTCCCTCTCACCCCTTGTTTCTTTTTAAAATACAGGGTCTGTTGTGTGATGTTGGGCTTCTGCACCATGGAGTGGGAAGTCTCTCTTTTCAAAAATATCATTAAAAGCCAACCTAGACCATAATGTTGCACAAAATGGATTAATCAGACATTTTTTCTTTGAAAAGAAGCAGCTTGAATTGGACACTCTGATCCACTTTACCCCATCAGAGTCTGAGGTTTGTTTTTGTTGTTTTGTTTTCATTTCTTGCACTTATTGAGCACTTTCGGCACCATGCGATATTACAATAACACGGCGTTTGTTATCTCACGTCTGTCATGTCTTTGTTTGGGGCTTTTTTTCTCTTGAACACAGCTTTTGACCCAGTGTGCACAAAGTAATTATATGTGCCTTGTTCGGCAAAAATGCAGCAGCACACATCTTTATTGCAAACCTGTCCCCTAAATATGTCTTGTGGAAAATGTAATGCCTCTCTGATTATGTTTTTTTATCAACATGGACTTCATTTACATCTAGTTACTTGTGGGGCAAGGCAATATGGCTAATAAATAATATCTCAATATTTTTAGGCTGTGCCGCAATATACAATATATATCTCAATATTTTCCCCATTTTCTCCAAAATAACATACTGTAAATTCTCAAATAGTGGCTGAGGCCTTCATTTCTCTCAACTGCAGAGGCCAGAGGATACCAGACCTTATTGTGAGCAGGCTTAGAGACTGTGTGCTGTGTTAAAAGTTACTGCATGCTGTTAATACCAACAATGCAGTTTTTTATAATATATTATTGTAATCATTTCCAGAAAAAGAAAACAATCTACAACATGAATAAGCAATTGCCCTTTTATATTGATTTAATAGCTTGTTGCATTTGCATTCGGAGTGATAACTGAAAACAAAGAGCACCTATTATTTGGCGTCTGGCATTCATTCAGAGAGACTAGAAGGTTTTTGAGCATCAACCACAATATTTCAACTAGGAACAGGACTTTGACAAGGCCACTCCAAAACCACTTTTGTAGGAATAAAATAACAAATAATAAAAGACACGATACTAAGCTTTACTTACATCCTCAAATCTTTGTTAACCTGACTGATTCATCTTTTCTGATACTTTAAAATACTGGTGTTTGGGACACCGTAAGTTTACTACTGTCAGATGCACACCCATACTCACTCTCTCTCTCTCTCTCTCTCCCTCACTCTCTCTCTCTCACAAGCCCACACAAACATACACTCAACATACGGATGACTGACGAAGGTGATAAATCCCCAGCACGTGCAAAACCAATGTGGTAAGATCATTAATAATGAGATGCTTTAATGGATCGCGTGGCAGCCTACATCACAGTAGATGAGCTGCACATCGCCGATAGATTCCTAATTCCTGTACGTTTTTTCCTTTGTATGGACGCTCATACATGGCCTCTCTGGAATCCCACAGACGGAAATCCATTGAAGCGATGGAGGACTTTAATCCCATAAAGTTCAAATATAGCTTCTGTCATCTTGTGGCACTTGTATATTACATTATTCATACTTCATTCTGTGCTAGGGGCTGTTTTAGGTGAAGGGATAGAAATGTGGTACTGGTGGCGTCGGTAGCAATCGTTTTGTGGTATATTTTGCAGGGCATAGTAGTATGTTTCACATCTGCCCTCCAGAAACAGAACCACCTCCACATGATCGACCACTGTTATCTTTGTCTGGAACTGAAGTTAACTCAGTCAGGACGTCAATGGCTAATTAGTCTGAGGGGTCTTTGACTGTGTGAGACAGCGACAGCAGGTCTGCTCCATGTCAACACCGCCTGCTTTCAATGCAGAAATAAATTACTATAATGCACAAGGAATAACTCGAATATGATGATATAGCCATCTTCCATGTCGTCGATGCATCGGCCTCTCCAAGGTGCATACATAATCTTTTCTCCTCCCAAGTGTAATTGCATCAGTAAGCAGTCTGTGAAAGTAGCCTGCACACTTTCCCTTGTGATAACGGCAGTGAAACTGAAATTGCACTGAAATAATCTGCCGTATGTGCTGCCTGAGAACTTGGAAACTTTTTGGAAAAGGTCAGGCACTTTCAAAAAACACTTGGCAGGTGAATGGATGAACAATCAATCTGTCTATCACCGTCTTACATGAGCTGTCGTCACACCTAAACCACACCCGTAGCTGCAAGTAGTTATTCATAGGAAGCTCATTGGTCCAAACTACTAAACTATCAGTCCTGGAATTTTTTAGTTATGTTCAAGCAACTCAAAGCAGTGGGTGAAAGTTAGGGAAAGATCCTGGTCATTTGAAAGATCCTGGTCATTTGAAAAAGTCTTAAAGCAAATGAACCAATGCACTGAAATTTTTTATATTTGACCAAACCTACAATCTTGGTCCAAACCGTAGCCAATTGCTTTTGTAGTCTAAACATAACAACAAAGAAAGAAAGTCTTGGTTGTCAAAGTCCTGGGCTGAATACACCCAGCTACCTACAACATCTCTGTGGAACGACACACTTTCTAGACTGGAAAAAACATTGCCAATGAAAAAATAATCGAGGCAGCATTTATGTTCCCCTTTCAAAACATATTTGGCAAAGCAAATTCGTCTTATTTGAACATATACAGTAGGGTTGCTGTTTTGACATTTTCATAGTTTTCTGTACTGGTAAATGGAATGTTCTTGTATAGCTCCCTTCTAGTGTTCCGACCACTCAAAGCGCTTTACGCTACATGTCACACTCACCCATTCACACACCATTCATATACTGACGGCTGAGGCTGTCATGCCAACTGCTCATCAGATGGAGAGTAACATTCAGACACACACTCACAATTAGGGATTCAGTATCTTGCCCAAGGACACTTGGAAATGCAGACTGGAGGAGCCGGGGATCGAACCACCACTCTACCTCCTGAGCCACAGCCGCCCCCGTGTCCCTCCCTCTCACCTCTCTTCTCTCCAAAGTACAGGGTCTGCTGCGCAGTGTTGGACCATTGCAGTGAAGAGTTGTCGCTCTCGGCCACCCGGCAGGTCAGTGTCACCGTGCCCCCCACGGACACCGTCTCATCGGAGGTCACTGGCTGCAAGGGGTCGTCGTCTAGGTAACAGGAGAGAGAGGAGGGGAAGAAATGATAAGACAGAGCGATAGAGATGCAACAGAGACAAGTCAGAGAGGCACTTATATGAAAATACAAGCAAAAATAGTAGCACACACCAACACACAAATCAGATAAACCCACAAAATGCATTACTCGCCTCGCTCTCTCTCTTTCTCTCTATCTCCCACCGCCCATCTCTTTCTCTGCTTGTCAGATTATCTATATATCTCAATCTGTCTTTCTGAAAGCAAAGACACAATGCGCGCACACACACGGACATGCTGTCAGAGGGACAAAAAATCAGACAAATGGCTATCTGGCTGTATGTCTGCGAGGCCAATGTAAGAGCGATGAGTCAGTAGCGGCCCTGGCATCCAGAGACTGCACGACCTGAGGGACCAGCAAAGATGAAGAGACCACGGCAGCGAGTGTCTCTCGACAGGTCAAAGCAACAACAAGAGCACTGTCTCATACCTCTAATGGCTTTGTAACCCTCTTTTGTCAATATATGTGTCAGTTTTTAACGCCATGCATATGTATCGGCTGGTACAGAACAAGCTCAAACGGGACAGGCATTATGGAAATGAGCAGGTCAGAGGGAAAGAGAGAGAATACAAATGACCGAGCATAATGAAGGGATTCTAAAGGCTGGAACCGGAGCACCACAAAAACTACTGAGCAGTGAACTGTCTGGGTGTGTAACAGTATTCAAATTGGCTCAAATTATGGTATTTAACAGCACTCCCTTGATAACGGGTGATGGTGCAGGCTAATTCTGCTCTCTGCATTCAATGAGGGTGGCAGACTACTGGGTGAATCAGAACAAGAGATATATATATATACTAAAATATGCAGCCCCTCGTTATGGTTAGTAACGCCGAATGTGGCCACTATGGTTCTTTTTACCGTGTTAAATTATTGCGGCTTTGAGTACACCCAGCCACGCTTTGCGCTCCCCTCCCTTCCTGCTCACTTTAAAACGCTCGCTCATCCTAATCTCAAGCAAAACAAAAATATGGTATAATTGACGACAAGACCAAGCCAACGGTGGGAACATCTCATAAGAAGATATGCCTCAAAGCGGTCCCCTCACCCCTGAAAATATGGCGTGTATAAATAGTTTAATTGGAACCAAATTGTCAAGCGGGAGACAGGTTTATATTCGGCGTGGAGCGTTATCGCATCCCTGCACCGGCGGTGGAATTGATTTTTTTTTTTTTTTCCTACAGGAAGAACATCTGCTTAAGTGTGCTTCGGCGGAACTCCCATCAAGACATGAAAGAGGGGGGACACGAGAAGAGAGGATGCAGAAGAGGAGGCGAGCAAACTAACTGCATGTAGTATCAAAAACACACATTTGCCATGAGCCGAGAGCAGCAGGAAGCAACTATGGGCATCTTTTTTTGTCATTTTAAAGCTGGATGGCCAGTTCAGCATCTCAGAAAACAGAAGTTATTAGAAAAGAAAAACAAACCCTTAGGTTTGCCTCTGGGCTTAAAGGATTCAGAGCCATGACAGCTCTTAAAGGTACAGCTGCCGTTTGCCAGTAGGACTCAAACAGCACTCAGAGAGCCCTTCCTGTCAGAGTAAGCTGCTCCCTCGATCTCTGTGGTGTTTTACTGCAGCCATGACCTTGTGGTTAGTTTACCTAAGCACCATGATAGCAGAGGGCTGAATATGTGGTCAAGTGCACCACGGATTAGTGTCTCCTTTAATAGCATCTTGAGCTAATTCTTGTGGCTGATCACAAGCGCTCCTCTACTTGGCACGAACACTTTGGGTAAATTGCTTGTCCCAGTGCATCATCCATCAAGCCAACCACAATGAGCTCCGACAAGTTAGCCAAAGTAGTGCCTTATCTTTAGCCGCTGCAGAGTGCTGGCACTTCTGACCAAGAACAACCTGTGTTGGAGGCTTGGAGTGACATTTGTGCTAGTAGAACAATTTCCACTAGTAGTAGTGGTCCACTACTGGTTCTTCAGAAATGAAAAGAATTTGAGGCGATATCTGCTTTACAAGTGAATACATTTTTTCAGAACTAGTACAGAATATATAATATTTAGCCTTTCCCATGGTCATGCCGTGCTCTACTCAGTGAGCTACAAAGGGCCTTTATCCTCATAAGCTGATTGGCCAACAGATCAGACTGTTGATGTAGTGGGTTACAAGTTTCTGTATGATGTCATCACATAATTTAACATAAACAAATGTTTAAATGATAATTATATGGATCTAAAGCTCCACTAATGCATACAAATCAATTGATGTTGTTCAGTATCAGTCAAATTTTAATCACAGATAACTTGGGTTTAATTTAGTCGTAGCGCTATGTGGGTATTAACTGCATCAATATAAAGTATCAATCTATTAGCAATATTTCAAATCGTCATTCATTATATGGTCAGATGGGTGGGCTTAGCGGCAGTGGGCATTAAGATGGGCGCCAGAGAGATTAGACTATTTCAAATTAAATAAAAGTTTCTGTGGTTGGCAAATTTAATGACAAACTATCCTAATGACACGCCCAACCCATCCAGAGGTCCAAATCGGTTTACGCAAACAGTGCAGAGTCACTCGCCAGTAGTAATATGACCCCTATAAGCCTCAGATACAGATACAGCTGTTCTTCTTACCTTTGAAGCTACTTAAGAGCAAAGTGAAAGGGAGGAAATTAAGTTCAGCCAGAGTTTAAACGGTTAAGTCAGGCTAAACACCCAAGCAGCAAAAATGAAAGGAGAGACCTATCTATCCTTAGCAGACGTTAAGTTAAACACTGTGGCTTGCTCTTCTTTCTTCTCTCCTCACATTCACTCCTCCACTACCCCCAAGCTGTAAGCCTGAGGAAGACACGGGTATTTAAAGCAACACAATTTACACTTTCCCTCGCCGGCAATAAGGTGAGAGAATGCAGAGGTAGAAGGCTGACTGGGATATCAAGTCTAGAGAAGGAGAGAGAGGAAGATGGATGGATAAGGATATGTAAAGGAGGGTGGGTGATAAAACAAGGCGGGAAACTGTGTGTGCGCGTGTGTGTGTGTGTGTGTGAAAACGGGAGGGAGGGGAGAGAAGTTGGCAGTGAGACAACAGAGGAAGTGTGAGGAGCTCGAGGGACCTCCAATGATGGAAAACGAGCGGGGAGGGCTTAAAGGAATAGTTTCAACGTTTCTCTTTTTTTTAAATAAGCTTTTTTTCTTTCTTTCTGAGAGTTAGATCATTATCCATCTCAAGTCTATGCGTTACAAAGAGCTGCAGTTAAGGCGTGCTTAACCTAGCATAAAGATTGGATGCAGATGGCATAAAACTAGCCTTTTGAAAGAGAGAAAATAGGCCAACCAAGTACTCACTATCAGGAGTTCCTTCCCTATCAATTAGCAACAAATTAACACATTTTATCTTGTTTGTTGATTCTGTACATAAATGTCAAAATGACAATTTGTGGTTTTAATTCAATATGCTGAACCTAGAGGTCCTCCCGGGTCCGCTGGATCTGTAATATCTAAGGCTCCAAATGATATTCTATCAAACTGGGTAGAGTACGTCCCGTTTTATTGTTTCAGGTGTGTGTAAAGATGTGAAATACCTTACCACAGCTGCGTGTTAATGTAAGTCCCACATTTTGAAACATGCGTAATTGTCTTCAGATTTTTTTATTAGGATCGGGTTTTAGATCCTAGAAGATGTCCAGTTAGACCAATTTCTCAAACAGCCCAGGGTGTAATAAAAGAGCCAGATACCGGACTCCAAGATGGCGGCCATCATTTCCAGTGAAAGCCAAAGTTTTCTCACTTCCTGGAACTATCTCGAAAATTTTTGTGAACATCAATGAATCACTTTTTCAAGCAGAAGTGCCAAAAATAGGATAGTTCCAGGTTCTTAAATGTGAGAATTTGTTGCTTTCCTTGGTCTTACATTATGGCAAATGCCTTGGGCTTAAGAATAAACATCTCTTGTATAAATGGTGGTCTGTTAGAGGTGTTCATCTGTAGGTGTATGCTTTGCTTCCCTCCTTCAAGCTAAGCTAGGCTAACTGAGGTCTGACTCCAGCTTGATTCTAATCACAGATATAAGATTGATATCGCTCGTCTTCTCTCACTCTAAGGAAGAAAGTAAATAAGTGTATTTCCAAAAAATACTGAACTATTCCTTTAAAAAAAACAGCTTCCTCTCAATTCCACCTGTTTCACTCCCTGAAAAGAACGGTGAAAAATTCAAACCACCTTGGCCATCTCCATGTTCACCCCCTCTCTCTCTTCCTTCCTCCTCCATCTGTCTCCCTCCATCTTTTTCTCCCTCCTCCTCTCCATCTGCCCCGATGTCCTCCTCGGTTTCCTCTCGTCCTCCGTCACCTCTTCGCCCTTCTGTCGAGCCTTCTCCCCTAATTCTGAACTCATTTACTTCTCACCATCCTTAATTCCTTCTTTCCCCCCCTTTTTTTTTGTTCTCCCAGGGAAGCTTCACTGTGTTGCTGCTAATTAGTGCGGGTTAATGAACTTTATTTATTGTAATACATGTGTGTGTGTGTGTGTGTGTGCGCCTTCAGCATGTAGGTCTGGGCTAAGTGTGTGTGTGATGAGCTTATTATCACCATGGTTGTGCATGTGTGTAAGGCGTACATTTGTAGGTGTTTGCATGTAAGGTTCTAAGTGTAGCTGCTTTGTAAGAAGGTACCTATCTAAATGTGTGGATATGTGCACGTCTCTCCAAGTGTGCAAGTGAGATTCTCAAGAAGCTTATTATCTGTGTTTGTGTGGATCTGTTTGCATGCAAGTATGTGTTTGCACTCAAATGCAGTTGTATTTGTTTTTGCAGGGAGGAATTTATCTGTTTGTGTGTGGGGGACGAAGTATGTGTATCTGGATGATTTATGAGATGGTTTTTATCTTCATGCGGTTGAGGCTGTGTGCGTGTTGGTGTATGCGCATGTGTATCTACATATTGTGTTGCCGCTGCACGGAGTAGTGCTACTGTGTGTGACAGACAGTGTCATGTGTCTTGGTGC